CAGAAAATGAGCTTGGGAGTCTTTCCTCCTCTTGAAGTATTAGGGGTAGTTTGAGGACAGGTGTTAATTCTTCTTTGAATGTTTGGTAAAATTCAACTGTGAAGCCATTCTGTTCAGGACTTTTGTTTGTTGGGAGCTTTTTGATTACTGTTTCCATTTCATTAGTTGTAATTGGTCTATTCAGATTTTTTTTAATTTTCCTGATTCAGTTTTGGAAGACTGTATGTTGCCAGAAATTTATCCATTTCATTTAGATTGTTAAATTTGTTGTCATATACCTGTTTGTAATATTTTCTTAAAATCCTCTGTATTCCTGTGGTGTCAGTTGTTACTTATCTTCTTTCATTTCTGATTTTATTTATTTGGGTCCTCTCTCTTTTTTCTTGACGAGTCTATAAATTTTGTTTATCTTTTCAAAGAACCAGCTCTTGGTTTCATGGATCTTTGTATATTTTTTTAGTCTCTATACCATTTATTTCCACTCCGATCTTCATTATTTCCTTCCACTAACTCTGAGCTTTTCTTGTTGTTCACATGATAATTATTTTACTTGTGGGGTTAGATAATTTATTTGAGCTTTTCTTATTTCTTGAGGTAGGCCTATAATGCTATAAATTTCCCTCTTAGGACTGCTTTCACTGGGTCACATAGGTTTGGGGCTGTTGTGTTCTCATTGTCATTTGTTTCAAGGTATCTTTTGATTTCTCCCTTGATCTCATTGTTAACCCATTCATTGTTTACTAATATGTTATTTAGCCTCCATATCTTTGTATGTTTTTCAGCTTTTTTCTTGTGATTGATTTCTAGTTTCATACCATTATCGTCAGAGAAGATGCTTGCTATGATTTCAATCTTCTTAAATTTATTGAACTTTGTGACCCTATATGTGGTCTATATTTGAAAATGTCCCATGAGCACTTGAGAAGATGTATATTCCATGGCTTTGGGGTGAAAAAAGGGGTCTCTTAGAGATGGGCCTCTTGTACACAGCATATATATGGGTAGCTTATCCATTAAGCTACCCCACATCTTCTGATTGGAGCATTTAAGTCATTTACATTTAAATGTATTGACACCTGTTTTGTGTCCGAACATGTGGTCTGTACTAGAAAATGTTCCATGTGCACTTGAAAAGAATGTATATTCTGCTGCATTGGGGTGAAATGCTCTGAAAGTACCAATTAAATCCATCTGGTCTAATGTGTCATTTAAGGCCACTGTTTCCTTTTAGATTTTCTGTCTGGAAAACATTGATGTTAATGGGATGTTAAAATCCTGTACTATGACTGTATTACTTTCTGTATTCTTGCTTTATATAATTAGGTGCTCCTATGTTGGGTGTTTAAAAGGGTTATATCCTGTTGTTGGATAATGATCCCTTTACCAGTATGTAGTGTTTTTCTTTGTCTCTTAATATAACCTTTGTTTTTAAGTCTATTTTGTCAGCTATAAGTACTGCTACCCCAGAATTTTTTCACTTTTATTTGCACGAAATATCTTTTTCCATTCCTTTACTTTTAAAGGGGTCTCTTAGAGATGGGCCTCTTGTACACAGCATATATATGGGTAGCTTATCCATTAAGCTACCCCACATCTTCTGATTGGAGCATTTAAGTCATTTACATTTAAAGTGATTATTGATATGTATGTATTTCTTGCCATTTTCTTCTTTACTAGAGGCCTGGTGCACGAATTTGTGCACCAGTGGGGTCCCTCAGCCTGGCCTGCAGTATCGGGCCGAAACTGGCTCTCTGACATCCTCCAAGGGGTCCTGGATTGCGAGAGGGTGCAGGCCAGGCAGAGAGACCCCACAGAGGTTGGCCAGCCGAGGAGGGAATGTGGGAGGGCTCTGGGGCTAATCTGGCCCATCTTGCCCAGTCCCAATTGGTCAGACCCCAGCAGCAAGCTAATCTATTGGTCAGAGTGTCTGCCCCCTGGTGGTCAGTGCATGTCATAGCAAGTGGTTGAGTGGCCTTATCATATCATTAGCATATTATGCTTTGATTGGTTGAACGGCTGACCAGTCAACCAGACACTTAGCATATTGGGCTTTTATTATATAGGATACCCATGTTGCAGGCACCACATTCTGTTCATTAGGGTAACTAAAAGGCAAACAAGTTTTT